CCATGGCAGAGCCCTGCTCGCCATTCCAGGAGACAACTCTGGGTACCCCCAGCTCCCAGGACAAATTGACCTGCTTTTGCAGCAGATCTGCTTTTGGAGCCACCACTACCCAGATTTAATGTTTACAACTGCAGCCGACAAAGGCAAACAGCCTGTAAACGATTAACCCAACCGGCCCGCTTCAAGGTCCCGCCGCCCAGCACCCCGCGCGGGACACGGCGACCCTGCCCCTCATGCTGGGCCCCTAGGTGGGCTTCAGGAGCATGAGCTGCACCCCATCCCCTGCGTGAGGGTGACAGTGGTGCCGGCATCCCCCGCACGAGGACGGCAGGGTGGCACCGTGGGGCGGCTGAGGGGAGACAAGTGATGCCCCCCCAGCGGGGCGGGGGGCGGTGGGCAATGGGCAGGGAGGTACCAGGAGTGGCCGGGGGTACGGGGCGGGTGGGGCCGCAATCTCGGCCTCTGATAAGCCGCCGGCGGCTGAGTCAGGCAGAGCCCGGAGGGGAGCGGGAGCCGCCGTTTCGCGGCACCGCCCTGGCCCCGGGGCACGCCGAGGGACCGGGGGGGCTCTCACTGAGGGGGCGTACTGGGGGTGACGGGGGGCAGACTTGGGCGGGGAATGTGGACAAGGGGCTAGTGGGGCCATGCTGGGAGGATCAGGCTGGGTGGGGGGCACCGGGAAGGGATGTCGACGGGGACGGACTGGTGGGCACTGGAGGATTTGTGGGACGGGCTAAGTGGGACGAAGCACAAGGAGTCTCCTGGAGGCAGGTTGGGGCGGGTGGGGGAGCACTGGGAGCCAGGCCGGGGGTCACTGGGGGCACTGGGAGCCAAGCTGGGGATCACTGCGGGTCACTGGAAGTCACTGGGAGCCAGGCTATGGGTCACTAGGGGCCTCCGGGGGGCTACTGGTAGCCAAGTAGGGGGCAGTGGGGGCACTGGGAGCCAGGCGAGGGTCACTGGGGGGGCCGGGCAGTGCGGGAGGGGGGTGGTCGCCGGCGGTGGCACCAGGTGGCGCTGCGGGGCCGGGCCGGGGGCGAAGGGGCCGCACCTGCCCGCGGTAGCACCCGGCGGGGCTCAACGTGGGAATCCCTCTGAAAATATAATAAAATTAGAGAAAGAAAACAGAAAAGAGGGAGGAGGAGCCCGGGGCGTTGCTGTCCAGCCCGGTGCCCGCCCGCTGTCTTGGCCGGGAGTTGGTGGGAGGACCAGGGGCCCCAGGGATGGGCGGGAGCACGGGCAGCCCCCTCGCCTGTTTGCCGTAGGTAAAGCTGTTGTGCAAGAGCCAGCGGTCAGGAACAGGCTGTACTAAGCAGCCGTGGCCGGCGCTGCCTCCAGTACGCAGAAAACTACCCCATCCACGACCACGCGGACCAGAAACGCTCTCTTTGTTAATGACGTTAATTGTGAACTTAATTAGGCGTCTGAAGTTGCAGCAAAGAGGTCAAAGACGTGGGCTCGTCGAACACAGAGAAGCTGATGAGATGGGCAGGACTGAGCCAACATCCGGATGGCGGGACCAGGGTGACGCAGACGTTGGCACACTGCTGGGGTCAGAGATCTTGCAGCCCAGCAGTTTCACTGGTGTGATGGAGGAAATCAAGCTCAACCATCACTGAAACACCTCTGCTGTCAGGAGGAAAAGAGCAGGCTTTCAGAGCCCCCTTTCCCCAGCCAGGCCCCCAGGAAGGGCTGGCCCTATGAATAGCTCAGCCTCATCACTGGGTGACCACTGCAGTGCAGAGGCCTCTGGGCTTCCAGTCTTGGACTGACAGCAGCACAGGCATCCCTGGATCCAGGCTGCTGCTCTCAGAGAGACAAAACCCTCTGGTCTGAGTCAACTGCCGGGAAGGTCATTGGCAGTGGGTGAGCACAGAAATCCTTTGTGCTGCTGCAGCACGGGGTAGAGGGGGTTGCAGTATACGACATAACAGCTTGTCCTGACTGCCTGTGAGTCTGCTGTCCTGTGTCCTGGGTGCATCAGGGGTGAGGGGAACAGGACCAGGACGCTGCCCCAGTGATGCTACTATGCAGAGCAGCATCATTTCCCTCCTGCTGACTGTGGATCCTGGAACAGCCAGGAACCATGCACAGGTCATTCATCCCCTCACCATACCAGGGACACCTTTGCAGTTGAGTTCTCTTACTTCTCTTTGCAGCACTAAACATGTCCCCTGAAGCAGAGGATGTCCCACAATTGTCACACAGATGTTAACAGCACATACCCTCTGGGATACAGTGTCCCTTGGGCTTTGCCTGGTCTCCAAAGTAAAGCTCTTGATGGTCAAGGACACCCTGGACAGATGGCAGCCTCAGGACTTTTGCAAAGGCAAACATAATAGCAACCCATGTTGTCTGTCACCAGCTTGCCTTGGGGTCCCAGCTGGGTTGACCATGCTGGCACATGTGGTTGCAGACAGCAAGGGCCATGCAAGGATGAGGAGGGGGGACAGGAGGCAGAGCAAACCCCTAATCTGGGGCAGAAAGGTATCACCCCTTCAAGAGGGCACTAGGCACCGCAGAATGGGCAGCTGGTGGTGTCACCAGGATGGGCCTATGGCCACTAGGCAGGGCTGACCCTGCTGTTTACCCCACAGCAAGGTGGCTGCTGTTGGAGCTGTGCTGTGGAGCACCTGCATTTCCATGGAAACCTCTCCCCGTGGTCTGATGTTGGGTCACTAAACAGGGGCAACTGGTAGCTGCAATGGAGGGCCTTGGTATTGCAGTCCTGGGGCTGCTGGGTGGGTTGGACCAGAGGGGTCAGTGGTTGGGGCAACTCTGAATGGAGCTGCAGGTCACGGTTCAGGGTGGTTCATAGGTGTGCGGTTTCCTTTGCCCAGAGAGCAGGGGTAACTCTGCCTGTTGGCATGGAAAAGCCCAGGGGAAGGCATCCCCATGCCCCAGGGAAGAGCCCCATCAGCCCATTGGAGTCCTGCTGTAGTTTGTCTCTATTGCAACCTGTCCCAGGCATTCCACAGCATCCCTGCCCCTGACAGCACAGCATAGCTAAGCACGGCTCAGCATGGCACGCTGCCTGCCTATGGCACCTTTCCCACACTCTTCATCTGCCCCATGGCAAGGGACCTTCCTCCATCCCAGACTAATGCCCCCAGGCCATGGCCACGCTGCCGCACCTCCAGCACACAGGGCACAGGGTGGCAGGGGGTGCAGGACCTCCACAATGGGCAGCACCAGTGGTCATAGGGGGGTCCAGCACAGGGTCTGGAGCACGGTGCTGAACAGTGTGATGTGCCAGTGGCACAGCAGCGGCAAGGGTACCCCTGGAGAGCAGAGCAGAGCCCCCCACCCAGCTCCCCGCACAGCCTGTCCCCCTGCCTGCCCCCAGCTCCCTGGCTTGGGGCCTCGGTCCTGGCTCCACTGTGCACGCTGCCTGGAGGCGATTCGGCCCCCCCTCCCCGTGCCTGGTTTCCATGGCAACTCCAGTTGAAATTACATTAAAAAGAAATGAAACCAGCAGCTTTTCTGTTTGGCAAGTAGGGGGAGGGGAGCTCAGCTGGGAAAGACTGGGGAGGGGGTGCGAAGGTTGGAGGGAGGGGGCTGTGGCACAGATGAGATCCCACATGGGGTCCCCGTTCTGGGGGTGGGGGCAGCAGGGCGGGGATATGGGGGGACACTCCCCCCTCTGTGGCACTTGGTGTTGGCAATTCTGGATCGTGTGGTGCTGATTTTATGTGTGCTGCACTGGGGGTCCAGCACCCCGACACAGTTAGGTGATACCAGGATCTTCCTGCTGCCTCTGTGGGGTGGGTGCCAGGGACATGGAGACCATCCAGACCCTCTGCCAGCAGGCACAGCCATGGCTGGGATGGCTCTAAGCCAGCACAGGGTACCCCACCCAGCCTGGGAGTCCCTGGCCCTTGCACGGTCCAAGAAGAGGCGAGACACACCGCTATTAAAAATATCACTTCTGTTTTATTTGGAATTTGTTACTCTGCGCGGGTGACAGGGTATAAATACATTCTCCAACGAGCATCCTCACCCTCAGCCCTGTGCCGGGTGGGGGCCGGGGCAGGGTGCAGGGCTGTGGATGCGCTGGCCCCAGGCAGTAGGGCCAGCAGGGCCATCGATGGGCTGGCCCCAGGCAGCAGGGCCAGCAGGGCCAGCCGGCACCGGTGCGTCACGGCCGCCAGCATGGGCAGCGTCTGCCAGCCGGACCGTCTTGCACAGGGACGAGATATGGTGTCCCCACAAGGACCTGTCCCTTTCTCCTGCCTCCCCAGGTGCCAGTGCTCATCATGGGGGGCTGAGACTGGGGTGCCCCACGTGGGATCCCATGTTGCTTCTTCTCCATGCCCGACTGCACCAAAGCCACTTGCCTTGAACCACATGTGGTTCAGTGGCCACACCAGCCCAGCGGGTGCCCCAGCCCTGGCACAGGTGCTCCCAGCACCATGCAGGCTGCATCACCCCCAAAGTCCCTGCCCAGGCATCTATCCCAGCTGCACGGCCCGGATGCCAGAGCTAGGGTCACCCCACGGTGGGGTAAAGGCCCCAGTGGAAGTAACATGGGAGGCAGAGTGGATGTTGGAAAGCAGCTCACTCTGCTCCGTCACCCCACTCCTGACGCAGGCTGCAAACCACTGCTTTTGGGTAACGGCACGGGCAGGGAGGGCAGAGCACGGCCCTGGGGCAGTGGTGAAGGGATGTGGGATGCTCCTGGGGGAGCAGGGCAGGCCTGGGGTGGTGCTCCTGGGTTCATGGGGGTGAACAGACGTTGCTCAGAGCAGGTGATGCCCACGTGGGGCGGTGGGTGGCACTTGGCCAGTGGTGGCAGTGGAGGGACCGGGGCGGAGGTGCTCGCAGGCAGGCCGTTGGATAGGCTATTTGGCTGAGATAGGTGGGCACGGGTGACAGAGGAGGGAAAATATCAAAAAATACAAAAGAGCGCAGCCCCGCAGCGCAGGAGGCACTGCCCTGCCTGGTGCCCACCCACGGCAGGCGGGCGCCATGGGGGACCGGCACCGTGCGCACACGCTGGCTTCTAACTGGCTTTTTATTTTATATCAAGAACACTTGGTTTTAAAATCTTTACAAAGGACAAAACGCGGCGACTCCGTTAGTGTGTAAAGAACTAAAGATCTGCTTTAAAAAACGTCTCTGCAAAGAGAAATGACTGACACAAAAGAGATTCTCTGCAGCGCAAAGAGGGGCAGAGGTGCCAAGTCTCCAGCCCAGGGCCCCACTCCCAGGGTCCCTGAGCCCCGGCACCGGCCCCAGCGCCCGCACCCAGCACATGGCCAGGTCCCCATTCCCTCTGCCTATAGCACCATGGCCCAGGGCCACTTCTCAGCACAGTGAAGGAGCCTTTTCCAGGGCTGCCAAGCTGCCTGGGGATGCCTGGGCACTGGCCGAGAGGGATGCCCAGTCCCGCTCCTCGTCAGTCCCAGGGTGCTCAGTGGGCTTAGCGCTGGGGATGTGATCGCCCCACTGGGAGGCACAGCCACAGCACGGGGAGCCCCATGGCCATCGACAGTGGGGTACCCCTGCCCGCCTGCACGGGTGCAGGGTTACACTGCGTTCCCCCCGCACCCCACTGGCGTCCCGGGGCAACCCGCGGGACCCTGAGGACGGGAGAGTCAAAGCACTTCTCAAAAGTTAGATAGGAACGAAAGAAAGCGCCGGGGCCACACTGGGACCCCACAGGTCTCTGGGCTGGGAGCTGCCCCGTCCGTGGGTGCTGCCCCTCCGTCCGGGGGTTCTGCCGGCCCCGCCGCTCCCTCTGCCAGTGTCTGCTGCGTGTGTGTGCGTGCGTGCATGCGTGTGCGCCGGCGGCGGGCAGCTATACCCTGGTGGTGGAGTGTGAGTGCGGGAGCCCCGTGCTGTTGAAGCCGGCGGTGAAGGTGTTGTAGGGGTGCAGGGTCTGCAGCCCCACCAGCGAGTTGGGGATCATGGTGATGGTGTTGGGGGTCATAAGCGGGATGTCGTCCGGCGAGCGGCGCAAGGTGAGGGTGTAGTCGGGCAGAGCAGCCAGGCGCAGGGTGTCGTGGGACGGCACAGCTTCGCACTCGTGGTGCCCCTGGCTCACCTGCAAGGAGGGCATCTCCTCATCAGGTGCATGGGCGATGTCGTTGGCGGCGCCACGCTGGGGGCTGGGCTGCCGGTGCGTGTCCTGCCGGCGCTTGTCCTTGCGGTAGTAGAGGGCGGCGAAGGCCAGCACGTTGAGGAAGAGGAGGGAGGCGCCCACGGCGATGGTGACGCTCAGTTCAGTGGAGTAGTCGCGGGGGCTCTCGAGCAGGGTGCCCGCCTCTTGCTCTGGGCTCCACTTCTCCTTCCCGTTCTCGCTGTTGTAGGCGGGGGAGATGGCGGGGCGCTTGGTGGTCCAGATCTTGCTGTTGGGCCGGCGGGTGATGTGGGAGTTCTGTGTGGTGTCAGGTGGTGGCACTTTGGTGGTGGTGGAGGTGTAGTGGAACATATCGTGCAGGTTGTACAGGTGGGGAACCAGGTGCTTCCAGAAAGCCACCTTGGTGGCCCGGTAGTGGTCACGTACCCGTGGCTTCAGCCCGATGTGCAGGTACAGCTGGTCGCGGGGGTTGTACTTGGACCAGGCCACCTCCTCAAACCGGTTGGCCTTGGTGTGGATGAACTTGGTGTCCTGGGGGACGGGCTTGTTGGGGTCCCTGTGAAACACAGGCAGAAAAGAACTAGTACTGGGAAAAGCCAAAGAAGCAAGGAGGGAAAGCTGGGTGCAGAGATGGAGGCTGGGGACGTCTTTGCCAGTGGTGGCACAGAGTGTGCTGGCAAAAGGTCCTGCATGTCTGGGCAGCACCCCAACCCTGGGTCAAGCCTCACCCATGACAACCACAGCCAACCAGCCTCCACCCCACCCCGCATTCGGCTGGGTCCTGTCCCAGGGACTGCCCATGCTCTAAGCTTCTGGCTTTGTGGTTGAGGCCATGACCCCAGTGAAGGTGCAGCACACAGACCTCTGGGCTCAGGGGGCTCCGTGTCCCACATCAGGCATGACAATATCCCCCCACCACAGCATGGTCTCGAGGGGTACAGCTGCAGTGAGTGCAGACCCCCAAGGCACAGCACCCATCCCCACTCACCCTGTCTTGGCAAAGTTGGTCCAGTAGGTCATCACCACGGCACTGAGCATGACGTCATTCTTGGAGAAGTTGCAGGGAAAGAGGTCTGTGGGGCCAATCATGGGGATCCCAAACACATAAGGCACCTCATCCCCGTGGGCTGCGTCCGACCACGCAGGTTTCATCAGGCTCTGGCAGTGGTGGTAGAAGGCGTAGAAGTAGGTGGGGGAACCGTAGCGGGCGTGCAGGTCAGCTGTCACCACTGATGGCTCTACCCACTGGTGGTCAGTGAAGAGGGCCACCAGCGTCTTGCGACGTGTCTCGGGGTTGTCCCGGTCGGCCCAGTCTGTGTACATGAACTTGATGGTCTCCCTCAAGGTGTCCTTGCCCTCGGGGTATCCGTACAAGTTGTCCACAAAGTTGGAGACTGAGTAGTCAAAGTCACTGCCTGAGACGCCATCCTCGGGGTCCACCACACCCTCCACGAACTTCAGCCCCTCACCCTGGTTGACCCCCAGCATGATATCATAGTTGAGGAACTCGCCCTGCTCCATCAGGATCTCTGGGTCATCCGGGATCACATCCCCGTCAATGACCGGCCCGAAGGCCACATGGTAGCGAGCCGGTTGGATGTCTTGCTCTACCAGCTCTTTGGCACTCTTCTGCCGCAGGCAGTCCACCATGTCCACCGTGTCCAGCACATTGCAGCCCACCTTGTCGGCCAGCATGCTGGTGTACTTCACGGGCTGGTAGTTCACTGCCCAGCTGGAGAGCGCGGAGCCGCTCTGGATGATGGCCCTCTGGAAGAGACCTGCAATACAGGCAAGGAGTGGAGGAAGCTCTCAGCAGGGTTCCAACACCCCAGCGCTGCAGCACAGGATGCAGCGTGGAGAAGGCATTGATGCTCTTGTATCCCTGCAAGGACCCAGCACTTCAGCCCACACCTGGCCTTGACCTGGGCTTTGCTGCTGAGCCAGGCTCACACAGGGGTTCAGCTCAGGGCCACTGCGAGGGTGGCAGGGTGACAGCTGGACATGCAAGTGTGGGGGGGATGCACTTGGCAGCAAACAAGAGCTGCTGTGCTCCCTGAGGATCCCATTGCAGGGGATGGCCCAGCATCTTTGTCTGGTGGGTGGAGAAGAGGAGCTATGGCTGCATCACAGCCTGGCCTTGCTGAGCAGCCCGTGCCACTCCAGCCACCCCAAGGACATGTTGCCTGAGCCCCCGAGGGGCACAGCACCTGTCCCTGGCTCAGCACCATCCTCCAGTCCAGGTTGGCACCTGCTTCACTGAGCAGCCAGGCTGCGGGCTGGCAGCAGTGGGAGGGTTAACGCCTGCTCGAGGGCACTTAACCCTGCGTGTCCCACCCCAGTGCTTTGTCAGAGTCCCCCTCGACCCCCTCCCTGCTGCTTCCTGCCCAGCTGGGGCTGCTCAGTGCCAATCCGGCCCTGCAGGAGCACGCTGCCAGACGCACAAAGAGGGCCTTTCTGCCACCAGGAACACAGAGGGAGTGGACTTTCGCCCTGGAAAACGAGGCCACAAAGGCCCTGGCCCAGGCAGAGAAATGCGTGGCTTCGCTCCAGTCCCATGTCAATGGTGCTTGTGCTTAGAATACAAAGGGTGGTGAGGAAGCAGAGCCTCCGGGGCTGTGAAAGGCAGCCAGTCCCAGTCCAGGGTGCACCCCAGGGTCCTTGCTCTCCGACCAGCTCTCTTCTGCACCCCAAGTGCTGCCTGCACCCCTGCCAGACCCCAGCACTTGCTCACCACAGGGGACTGTTTAAGGTGATCCCTGAATGGTGCTGGCACAACACTGTGCTGGTCTTGGGGCTGTCCCCAGCACCCTGAAGCGCAGAGAACCTCTCTGCAACCAGGGCTGTGCTGCTCTGCAGGGAAACATGCACCTTCCCGCAACAGAAGTGTTCAGAGGCTCCTGGCTCCTGGCCACCATGTCCATAGCTCTTGTCTGCACGCACAGCCCTTGCTCTGCCAAGTACCTGACGTACAGTCCCATGCACTGGGACAAAGAGAAGTCACAAGCTCTGTTTGTCACCTCCCAGTGCCCTAGAAAGCCATACCCAGCCTACAGGCTGGAGACTGGCCATGGGTTTGCTTGCTCTGCACCATCGTCCACATGCCAAGGAGCCAGGATGGGGTATCCTGGCTCTCAGGAGATGCTGTCCCAGCAGCAGCCATACTGCCCCTGCCAGCAGCATCACTTCCCAGACAGACCCCCTAGGCTGGGCTCTGCCCCTGCCTGGGGAAGTATGGGGCAGCTGATGTCAGCAGCAGCTGGTCATGTCCCCGATGGAGTTCCTTTACTGTGTCTCTCCATGGCCATGTCCTGATCCAGGAGGACCCAGGAGTGTGCAAGAGTCTACACTCATCACGTCCTCCCCCTCCATGCCAGCACCTGGCTGAAGCCCCACAAACACCCTGGGCCTCTCCAGCCTTCTGGGGCCCAGGCAAGGTGATGGAGCTCTGCATTTTGGTCACTGGTGTGGAATCCACCTGCCTGCAAGGGCTGAGGCTGGCAGGGAAGATGTGGATCTCCCAGGCAGCCAGACACTGTGCTGTACCAAGCCTCCAGGGTCTGCCTCTTGCTGCACCTGGCAGAGCAGGCATAAATCAGCAGCTTCATTAATTGCTTTTGATCACTATGAGTTTTATTTTGATGTAATAAAAACAAGCCCACCTGGTCTGCAGACTGCATCTTAGCATGGCTCCCCTACCATGTTCCAGAGCCAGCTACCTGTCCTTGGGGAGATGGGTGCTCTGGCACAGAGGGTTTTTGAGGTAATTTTATGGCCGTTTGGTTTTATGAGACACTGGCTGCAGCACTGAGCACTCCCCTCACACCTCACAGCATTTACAGCTCCCCTGCCACATCTGGGAGGGTGCTGAGCACACAGCACCACTGAGACTCAGGGGAGACCACACCACAGGCATTGGGGCTGGACAGGGCAGAAAAGGATACAGGGTTTAGTGGCAGATACAGGGTTTAGGCATTCAGGTGCAGGATTCAGTGGCAGAAAGCATAGCATCACCTGGAAAGTACTATATTAACAGGACTATTTTTTGTGGCTGGTAAGTCACAAGAAGCAACCCCTCCAATCCACCCTCAAACTCACTCCATGCTGCTCTCTCCATCCTGGGCCACCTGGGCAGCCAAGCACACAGTCCTGCACTCCTGTGATGGAAAGGAGCACCCTAAGAAGCACTGTGAATGCATCACACATAGTGTTCCCCCACCAGCCTTTCACACTCAATATGGGCAGAGAAAACACTTTTTCTTTCTGCGGCAGCTTTCAGCCTGCAAAAGACTTCCCATCATCAACCATCAGCCCTGCTGAGGTTCTGAAGGTCTCCATTCCTGTGTGATACCCAGGCTGTTGAGCAGGGCTGCAGCTCTTCACATCAGCTTCAAGTGCAATTTGGAGTGTGTCTCTCAGGTGCAGATTCACACCCATGCCTCCTTCCCACACGTGTCCCTTTCTCCCCTGCATCACACTTGGGGACACAGCACTGGAGAGAGTTGCACCCTCATATAAAGCCTGTGAGCATGTCCTTGGCAGGCTAGTCCCCCATGGATCACATTCAGTTCAGGCTTTGCTCCTACAATTTCCTTTAGGAAATTTATCGAGAACCTCTAGTCCCACGGTTAATTTTTTTCCCCAAATGCTTGATGTAAATGTCTTTGCAGGTGGTTTACATGCATTTTCTCTTATTCCAACACAATCTTTTAGCATAAATAATTCCTTACTTTATCTAGAGTAAACACTCTGCTATATTTACAGATATCAATCATTCTACTTCCACCTGTGTTTTGCTAGTCACAGCACTTCAGCTCTCCCAGTCTCACAAGATGGGGCCCTCCATCCCTCCCCAGGCTCAGGTCTGTTTTCCCTTCTATTCCAGTGTGAATGCCTTTCCTAGCACTGAAATCCGTGTTCCTGGTGCCCTGCATGATGCCCTACCCCCCCTCCACATCTGCACATGGACAAACCTGAGCACCAGGGCAGGATGCCACAGGAGGGTCCCCACCTCTCCCCATGCCTGGGTGCTGGCCCCAGGCTGCAGCATTGTGCACTCCATCCCTGCCTCCCACGTGCTCTGCCACTGGCCTCTCCCTGCCCAGGATGAGAATGTTTTTTTTCCCATCCCCGGGTCAGGCTCTCACCAGCAACTAATTAGAAAGCAGCCCTGACTTTGTTAGGCTGGGCAGCGGGACCTGCGTGGGCTCCCTTCCCTAGAGCAGCATCAGCGGGGTGTTTGCTCGCAGTTGCAGCATCCCAGGCACAGCTGACACCTACCTTCAGAGTGGTGGGAGAGGGTGAGCAGGCTGACACAGGAGGCACCGATGCCGGAGCCGAAGACCGTGATCCGCAAGGGATCTCCCCCAAAGAAGGCGATGTTCTCGCTGACCCAGCGCAGGGCCTGTATCTGGTCCAGCAGCCCATAATTGCCCTTGGCAGCCTGGTCCCCTGTGCTCAGGAACCCTGAGGGCCAAGGGGAGCCCAGTTAGGGATGAGGAAGCAGGGAATGTCCTGACCTCCCACCCCCCTTCCCCAGGCATAGGGGAGCTTCTATGGGACCCTGTACCACTACAACATGAGACTCCACTACCAAGAGAGCTCTAAGCTGGAGCAGGGACACCTCGAGCTCCAGCCACCCTCTGCACAGCAAAGAGGGGCGAAAGGCTGAGAGTGCAGCTGCAAGCCCCGAGGAGCCTCTTCAGCCAATGGTGACAGGGTAAAGGGCATAAAGCTCTGTCCTACCCATACCACCACCTGTGCTAAGAATGGCTCAAGACAGCTCACACATGCTCCAGGGAAAGCTGAGAAAGCATCAGTGGCTGCAGGAAGGCCGAGTGCCTGCACAGCCAATGCTTTCCATGGACCAGCATGGACTGGAGGAAGCCCCGTAGATGTAAGGAGGTGGGCTGGGCAGAGAGGAACTGACTGCAGCTTAAAATACAAAGGCTCTCAGTGAGGAAGAAGCTGAGAAGTTTTCAATAGCAAAGGGAACACCCAAGATAAGTTATCACCACTTTTGTTTGGTTTGACTCTAAGCAGGAAGCCAAAACCATGGTCCCAAGTTAAAATCCAGGCAGGTAATCCCAGCACACAGGGAGCGGCCCCAGTGCTGTGCTGGCACTTGGAGGTGGTCTGGCTGGGTGTGTCATATTGTGACTCACATCTCTTAAGTTTGCACCTATTCATCCTAAAGGGGCAATTTTTAATTTAAAAGGTCTTGAATAGGTTTATTTTTACTGAAAAGCTTATTTTCTACCGGGTAACTGTCATCTTCTGCAAGAAACTCTGGGGTCTGAAGGCTATCAGAGGGATGTGCTGTCTCAGGTACTAGCTGGGAGCCCAGCTGCCAAGGGAGAACACCATGCTAGGCTGGATGGCTAGTAAGAGAGCCAGCCCTGACAGCAGCTTGGCTGGGAAGGAGCTTTTCCCAAACCTTTGCACCCCTTGTTCTCCCTGCTGCTAAGGGAAGCAGCAGTGTGCTCCACACAAGTTCCCTGTGTCTCAGCCCCTAGGGGTTTATGCTGCAGCGAGCAGGGCACTGCACTGCCTTTTGACCCCATGTCCTCATTCTGCCTCTCTAGGTCACCAGTGCTTGTGGAAATGGGACTGCTGCCCTCCTCTGTATGGCACCTGACACCCTTCTGTGGTCCCCTCTGCAGGCGGCCAGGCCATGGTGGGTGGTTGAGGGGGTCCCAGCAGCTCAACTGGTTTGGAGAACAGTCTGTGCCCAGGGAGGGAGAGCTGCCAGGTCCCCAGGACAGCCAGGCAGTACCCGCTGGCACCTCACCGCTCTGAGCCCTCTCAGGAGGAGATGCTGGGTAAACACATTTATTATTCATTTAACCACAAACCAATATTTGCTTTCAGTTGAGCCAGTTTGTGTAAATGAGCTGGGGGGGGCCGGTGCCAGGACCCAGACTGCGCTGTGACCGCGTGCTGGGGGTTCTGCCACGTGGCACCGCGCTTGGCAGCCAGGGCGGAAGGCAAGGGCCGTGCCCACAGCGCATCCCGCCGGCCCCACGCCCCCCTCCGCCCCCTTCCCGGCCGGTTCAAGCCCGGTCAGACACAGGGGTTGTCCCACTGCCCGGCTGTGCTGACGGCACAGCCCACGCCGGCCAGCTCATACCGAGCACTCCAACGCGGTAGTTCAGGGTGATGACAATCACGTTCCCGTAGCTGGCCAGGATGCTGCCGTCTATCATGTTCCCCGTGCCCTCCATGTACGAGCCACCGTGGATATACACCATCACCGGCTTGGCCCCGCTGTCCCGGATGTCTGGAAGGAGAGGTGGTTAAACACAGGACCCCACCGACAGCCGCAGCACCCTGCCCGACAGGCAGACCAAGTACAAGGGCAATGCCAGCTGCCAGGACCAGGGAGGGGGCTTAGGAGCCAAAGCCAGAGCTCTCCTGGGAGGCCACAGCATGGACCTCCAAAGTCAAACACCACTAAACCAACCCTGCCAGCCCTTCTCCGGCTGGTGGCAATCGCTGCACCGTCCCCACACTGCTGTTCCCTCGGGGGTCTGAGCACAGTGTGGGAGGGGTGCTGGCTGGACCCCACTGCTCTTCCCCAGAGCTGGGCTCTGGCATCGTGCGGGAGCCAGACCAGCTCTGTCGTGGGTAGGAGTTGCAGAGTCCAGCCTTGGGATGCAGCCCCACATCCTGCCTTTGGCTGGACCCAAGTGCTCCGGGAGTCCTGGAAGCTGGCATTGTGGGGGGGGGCAGGGATGGGGGTGTGCAGGACCTAGAAGGTGGAGGGGCCACTGACATGTGCTCCAATATCTCATTCTCTCACCCTCCCTTCCCATCCCCCTAGGAAGGCAGAGACCTGCCTGCTGTTGGGATGTGAACCCACGGCACCCCAGTGCCCAGACACAGACATGGTGATGAGGCAGACGTGTATGCACGTGTGTGTGTCAGGGAGGTGAGCACAGCATCTGGACAAGGACAGGGATGAGGCATGGAGTGAGGATGGGGAACAGGACCCCGAGGGCCGGGGAGGAAGGACTGCAGGAGCCTGGGGGACAGGGAGCAGCCATGCTCCCTCTCTCAACTGGTCCTGTCCAGGGGACATCCTGCCCCTTCTGCCCCACTGGCCTGTGATCCCTCATGGAGTCACATCCGTCCACAGGGGAATAACACCCACGCTTGGGCTCCTGGTGCATCTCGCCCATGTTACACAGAGGAGGTGGTTGCACCCGTCATGGACACAGTGCCAAGTCCCAAATGCCTGTGCTGCCCAGCCCTGTGCTGGGCTGGCGAGCCAGCACTGATGGACTTTGCCCTCCCTCGTCCTCTCCCGCACTCAGTACCTTGCTTGGGTGGGCTGGCAGTGCCTGCTTGACCCCAGCTGCCCCAGCCAGCTGCTGCTCCCTGCCTGCCTCCCTGGCTGCCAGCCCCCACCACAGTCCACGCAGGGCTGCACTCCGGGGGCACAGCCACACCATCTCAGTGCTGATGCCCGCTTGGGGTGGACATGCTCTCACACACCCACCTAACCTCTGCCCACGTCCACTCCTCCCTGTGGCTTGCCCACTGCAGGGGGGCTGCAGATCAGGCTGATGGCTACCTGTGGCCATCCTCACCTTCAGCTGCGGCCCATGGCATGGCTAAAGGTGGCCTCCCTTCCCCACAGAAAACCTCTTCCCTCCAGGAGAATGAGGCTATGCCAAAAGCAAAACCTGTGCTGGCTCTTTTCCTATCGCCAGGTTGTAGCCAGTCAAATGCACAGACCAGAGAAGCAAAAAATGCTGGCAGCTCTTCCAGGACAGACATCGCCTGTGTGGCAGAGCTATATCAGGACAACTTTTTCCAGGGCCACCTGCTTGAAATGTGAAGGGCAGGAACATCAGTGCCTGTGCCCATGTCTTCTCCCTGCTGCACGCTCCCACTGACACACAAAGGGACATCCTTGCAGCAGAATGTCAGCAATGTAGGAGATGTACCAGGGAATAAACAGCTCCTAATTGCTCCAGCACAGTTTGGTGTGTTGGGATTTAGCACAGTCAAGTCACTCAGGCTGAATGCCAGTTTACATCCTGGTACAAGAGATCCTGGGGCACAGGTTAGCGGGAGTAAACAACCGGGGTTTAGTACTGCCAAGGAAAAAGTTTTTCATCTATTTCCCAGATCCTAAAAGCCATCTGCCAGGCTGTGTTCTAGCTGCCCTGGGCCTTCTGCACACCCTGAGGTTTTACTGTCCTCAGCACATTCGAGCTGCACCCTGGCCAAATCTTCCTCCTACCTCTCTTCACATCTCTACAGCCAAACACACCAGCTCCGTACCCTGCAGATGAACGACCCCGTTTTACTAAAAATAGCTTATCCTGCAGCTTGCTTAGCCCTGGTGTACATCTAGAATCACATCTGCTTGAAAGCCCACTTGCTCTGCCTTGACTGGTGCTGATGCTCTGCTTGCAAGCAAGACCTCGCTTCCACTGGGTGAGGAAGTAGAGAAGTTAACAGAAACCAAGTGGACCTTGGGTCTCCTAGGCATGGCCAGATACCCTATGAGTGCCAAGGGTTCAGGCTGCTGGCACAGCCACCCTGGGTTGGTGCCCGTGGCGGGGCCAGGCAAGAGTGGAGGGGGAGGTTGTTGGCTCCCAGCTGCACTTATCCAAACGGCTCCAGGGGGATGAGGCTGGAGGTGGGATGTGACCGGGCTCAGGGTGAAATGGGCCCAGGTGCCCGAGGGCTCCTCTCCTCCCAAGCTGCCATGCTTCCTCCCTGCACCTCGCTCAAACTGAGCAGGAGCAAACTTCTCCTAAGGCAGAAAAAAACCCCATGAGCTTTCCCCCGCCCTCAGGAGGAGGGGAAGGTCCTGGGTGCCCTGCACAGCCGGCCAGCCTGCCCCCCACCCCGCGCAGCTGCCTGGCACGGCAGACAGACACACACAGGGCTCCCTGGGAGTGGCAGCGGATGGCGGGCAAACGGAGCTGCTTTGCGTGTCATGCAGTGGCAGCCTCGAGCACAGAAATACCTTCGTCTTCATCACCGTCATTATCCGCTAAGTCCTCGCCCTGTTTCTTAGCGCTGGCTCCTAGGGACCAAACACGAGGAGACAGAACAAAAAAAGGAAAACGAAAGGAAATAGAAACAAAACAACAAAAAGAAAAAAAAAAGAAAAAAAAACACAACAGAAAAAAAAAAAGAGAATTCAAAAATAGCATGATAGCAGAGAAAAAAAAAAGAGAATTCAAAAATAGCATGATAGCAGAGACGGTGGGGCCAGGCCTGTGCCCCACAGCACTGCTGGCTACTCACACTGCACCTCTCCCAGAGCCAGGGCAGTGTAGGGCACGGGCAGGACTGCCCCGGGAGCTGCGCCAGGATGCCACTTCACCTGGACCCCTTCCCAGATCCTCCCTGGGGAGGGCCAGGGTGGCAGGGAAGAGGCGAGTGGGGCTGTGGCAGCGTCAGCGCTGGTGATGGATCAGTCTCTCAAAGCACTTGCAGATTCTCCTGCATCCCCTCAGCTCCCTGCTCCAGGCAAGGCTCCCTCTCCTACCACCCAGGTGCAAGCAGGAGCCCTGCTCCTAGCTCTGCTGCCACTGGGGACAACTGTCCTCTCTCACCAGCAGAGCTCACACAAAGAGTTGCATGGCCACTGACCACCAGGCAGGGTCCTGCCCATCGCCCCCAGGTGGTGCATGGCCCCTTGTGCTTGGCACAGCAGTGTCACCAACCACTGGAGCCGCCACACGAGATCACCACAGCAGCTGCAGGGAGCCCTCATGACAGGGGCTGCCCTGTGCTGCTCAGCTCTGTCCTGCACCAACTCCCTTCTTAAAAGACTCATTGCCTGTTTCACTGAGGATTGTGAAGGCACCAACCAGGCTGACCTGACCAAGGCAGAACCCTGAACATACTGGTTTCTGTAATGTCCTGAGCACCTTACGTTGCGTGGCCAGCCCGGCAGCCCCAGCCCAGCACTGTGGAATGCTGCTGTGGATGGCATGCAGTGAGCACGGCACTTCCCGAGCTCCAAGCAGCCAGTGGGAGGCAGGAGAGGTGGCCTGTGGGCTGGCAGGGAGCAGGAGTGTTGCAGATCTGTACCAAAGGTCTGTTCCTGCAAAGGACTGCCTGTCCACGTGGGCACAAAGGCGAGTGGTGCCATCCTTGTGCTCTGGAGCCTCGAATTTCAGGAAGAGGCTGAGCTCTCCGTATCCCCTCAGAGCTGCAGACCAGCACCTGCAGTCCTCTGCTCCCTAATGCACGCAACAAAAAGAAAGTTCCCCAGGTGATAGTGAGCTCTGGGGTGACAACAGGGTTTCCCCCAGGCAGGACTGCCGAGTGACTCTCCCCTGAAACACAGGGCTCCAACATCCCTCCAGGCACCTGGCTGATCCCAGGGTCCTGCTGCTGCCACCAACGGGCCCCACCAGCACCACAGCAAGGGTTTTGCACAGCCTGCAGTAAGGCTCCCACAGGCAAGGGACAGCCCTGTGGCTGCATGGAACTATGAGACTAAAAGCACAAAACTGGCCAGGAAGACAAAAATCAGGGAGTTGTTCTCACTGTCACTCTGGGAGTGGCATTCTGCAGGTGACACGGGATGTGGATAAAAGAGATGGCAGCATGGAGTGGGACAGTATATGAATTTAAAAGGAATCTGTTATGGGGGAGTAAGAGGTCTGAAATGGCCATGAGGCAGCTCCATTGGGGCAAGAGGCTTGTAGAATGCCTTAAGCAGGCATGACCTGCTGGAGAAAGTCTAGAGAAGCAGCAACAGGAAATCTAGAAAAATCTAGAAGGTATGAAAAGTGTGCAGAAGGTTGGGTCACATCAATACCATGAGTAGAGGCATGACAGGAGCTACAGCAGTATCCCAACACATGAAAGGCTACTATGAGGTGGTAAGGTGGAAGAGCAAGTCCTTCTCTTCTGCACAGAGCACAGGCAACTCTGAATTTACATGAGGTAGAATGAGAAGAAAACCTTCCTGGCAGAAAGGACAGGAAAGTTCTAGAAGAGGCGATCTGGGGAGGTGTTTAAGACCAGGTGAGACACACCGCCAGGAAGAGGCAAGGTAGAGTTGCTCCTGCCCAGGGCAGGGATGGATCAGCCGTCTCCTGTGCCATCCTGATCTTCTCCAACTCAGAGCTCACCTCCCGACCTACCCCCGCTGTGCTCCAGCCCCACCTCCTCACCTCCTGCTTCACCACCCAACCACCCCCTGAGCATCTCACATCATTCTCCTCTTTTCACCCAGCACCACGCCCCATCCCTGTCACCTCTTGCCCCAGCACCTCAGCCCCAGCATTCCCCCTTCCTGCTGCCTCCTTCCCGCTCTCCCTCCCCATCCCACCCCCCAGCGCGTGCGGCCGCTCGGCCTCTCTGCAGGAGGTTGCAGGCTTGACCTGCTGCGTCTTCATTAGGAAGAGCTGCAAGCCCAGAAAGCACTTAAATGACGAAGTACTCATGCAATATTTGCTAACCGGTGCTACGTGCCAACCTCTTGGTACTGCTAAGGGATAGGGATTTTTCTCTAATGATGACCACAGGCAGTGAGCCTTCATCACACCGTGCTGCAGAGCTGGGAAGCTGATCACAGGCAGCTGGAGATCATTTTCCACTGCCAAAGGCCCTGGTGCTTTTAAACCCCTGAGAACAGCCAGGCTGCAGCCCTCCAGCCTGGTCTCCTTTAGGGGGCAAAGGTCTCCATGAAGATGGGGGTGGAGGAATCAGCTATGAGGACCTGTCAGGCTGTAAGAGAGGGCAGTGCATAACATCTCTATGACCTGAGCAACTGTTCTGGCTGATCAGGGAGGGATCCAGCTGGAGACTGCTGCTGCAGAACTTAGAGATGGCTGGGACAAACCTAAAGCACCCTGAGCTTCAGGCACCACAGAAGAGATGGCAGAAAGCAGCACTTGGGGAGCTGAGCAAAGCAGCAGCACAGTGATGCAGGCCAGGGCAGAGGGGAACAGCAGGGGCATGTGTGTGGCAGAAGCAAAGCACGAGCCTTACCCATCAGCAGGAAGGTTCCAGGCTGGCTGGGGTTATGGCCAACACAGACTGTTGTGACCAAGTGGGCTTTTTACCTCTTGCTGCAATGTTCACCTTCAGCACAACCCACCAATGTCCCACAGCTCTTGAGAGCAATCACAGCTTCACTTCCCTCACCCACCCCTTGCACTTTGCTCCAATATCTCCTTCCACTGTCTATTGACATGTTCAGGGACACCCATCCCAGGAGATCTTCCTCTGCACTAACAAAGGCCACCATGCAGAGCCCTGCAGCACCTACTCTCATGGGGATGGGCTAAAGCCTGTGGATTCACAGCTGGAAAAACCAAAAAGGCTTGTGGCTCATTCTCCTTACCCATCAAAAACACCCTCCACTAACCCAGTGTAAATGTCTGTTGTGCCACTTCACTTTAAGCTGACTGCAAAGTGACATGGGTCAGGCCGATAGGAAGGATGCATATGCTCTTATCTAAAGGTTCTAGAAAGACTTAAGTTCAAGTTCAGTAAAAAATAAAATCACTTCCCCCAAAACAGGGCCATCCACACTGGATTTATGCTATCTTAAGTAAATCATACCAACAGCACTGACACCAGTGCAAACAGGGATAAAGGAGGGTGAGGAGCCTAAGTCCTTGGAGGCTTCATTCTCACCATGGTGTGGATAACACAAGAGCAGGAGCCTGAGCTGTCGTCTTTCCAGATCCAAAAGTCTGTTCAGGGTGCCTGTAGGCAGCTCCAGCATCCTCTCCTCCGTGCAAGTGGGGCACCCACTCCCACAAAACAGCCACGATGCCTCAGGGAGCAGGAGCTGTCTGATGGCTCTGTGCACCCAAAGGTACACCTGCCACTGGCCACACCACCTCATCTGCTCCTCCAGGAGTGACAAGGAACTGGACCAAGACTGATGCAGCTGTTGAACTTGCTGCTGCACAACCCCACAGGAAGGGGCAACTCTGCTGGGACCTTCCAGCCACCAGCCCTTGCTCCAGGACTGCAGCATACCTTGGTGCTGCCCAGCCCCTCCCTGTCCCGGAATGATGCAGAGGAGTTATTTCCATCCTTGAGCGGACTCGGTAAAAGCACTGCATCTTCTCACGCTCTGCTGCCTCCACCAGCACAAACACCTACCCTCACCTTTGCAAATCATTCCCTGGAGTGGAAGCAGAGCACCAGGGCGGTGGTCTGCTCAGCCAGCTCTGCAGAGCAGCAGGCTTTGAGGGGGCTGGGGAGAAGCTTCCAGCAAGGGAGCACTGCAGGGAAGCCTCAGCCAGTACTCGGACAAATCCCCTTCTTGGAGAGCAGTGGAGAAGCCACGACGCTTTTCCTGCAGAGCAGCTGAAGCACATCCTGAGCCCAGGAGCTGCTGGGAGCTCCAGCCACCCTCACACAGCAGAGGAAGGTGCTGGACCTGCACATTGGTCTCTGCAGCATCACAGGCTCTGCACAGCCCCAGCCAGAGAGATTTGGGCAGTCGCTAATGAAAACCGGGGAGGGCTGCTGAGTGCAGGGCAGCCACAATTTTTTCCCCTCCAAAAATGACATCCACCTCCTCATGCCCTGCAGCAAGGCTTGCCCAGGCTGCTGGCGAAGGGAAGGGAAAATCATCCTGGCACCTGCCACAGCCAAGCACAGGCTGGAAGTGTTGGCAGAACAAAGCAAAGGGCAGAGCTGCGTTTTGCACATAAGTACTGTATGGGGTGTGTGTGTGTGTGTGTGTGTGTGTGTGTGTGTGTGTACATGGTCTTTGGGTGGGCAGGGTTATTTTCACAGCAAAACCTGAGCCTCAGCTGAGCCTCAGCGCTGTCAGCTCCCCTGGCACTGTTTCTCAAAGCACCACTGGCCTGTCCTGCTCCCAGAGAAAGGACCAACGTGTGTGGAGGACACTGGCATTTAGGAAATTTCCATGCAGGAAATTACTGTGGGCAACTGGGCGGGGAAACAGGGGTGTTTTTCTGTCCCAGAGATAAACTATGATAAATTCTCAGACCTCCATCTGCTATGAAATACACTGAGCTTAGGGGTGGCAGAAATCATGAAAACTCCAGTAAGGTGGGAGCATTTTCAACCACCAAAATACTGTTCTGCAAGAGGAGAGCTCATCACTGTTCATATGTTGCCTTAGAAATTATAATCATGAATATTCCAGAATGAGCCAATCTTCAAAATTTCAGCCCAAGGAAATCAGCACTGCAGGTACATTATCCTCACCCCAAACATTACTAACTCAAGACATACGATAAGAGGCGGAGGAGCCTCTGTGTCTCATCACAAGTGACTCAATTAATTCAAGCCAATGGCCACCAGAGCCTAGCTGGAGCTGAAGAGCACTGCCAGTGTCTGGGTGCTTTAATTCCTGGCACATAACACCTAGATGCCCAAACGGCCGGCACGGGGGATCCGCTGGTCCATCCAACAGAGCCCAGTGGGGGCAGTGGGAATGTCCCCCAACAGCTCTGCAGGAGGTGGCCAGAGGCAACTGCAGATGGGCTGCAGAGAAACCCTGCCCGTGAGCAGTGCCAGCGGGAAGGGAAAACCAGACAAGCACATCCAAGGTGTTTGGCCATGCCTTATATTGTCCCCTTCTCCAGCCATAACCTGGACCCCGCTTCCCTGGCCCTGTCTATCGGGCTGGGGGTGGCAGGGGTCTGCCAGCCCTGGCAGCCGGTGGGAGGGCCGGGAGAGGAAGCGCTTTGAAGTGGCTGGTGATCACTGGCACAGCCGGCTCCGGAGGCAGCGTGCAGAGACTCCCTAATGCGCCAGCCCTTTCAGGGGCAGCCTTGGCACTCAGAGAGATGGCGTGTGAATAGCCAGGACAGCAACAGGAAAAGCAAAGCAAAGAAACCAAACAACAGAACTGGGGGAAACGGCTGGAAGGAAAGCGCTCCCCAAACCTCCAAGCCCAGCTGCACTGGCCCCGACAAACCCAGGGGTGCAGGGAGGCAGAGGTCGGGATGCAGGGACCCTGCTGCCACAGGATACCCAGGACAGCAGCCTGTGCCGGCCAGACACCCTGTACTGAGCCTTTCAGAAGAGCTTGGCTGCCTGACTGTCCCCACGTTCATCTTGGGGATGCACAGAGCAGCCAGCTCTCCCTGTCTGCAAAGGGGCTGTGTGGTGGGATGGTGGGAAGCACCACGTCCGACATGGGGCTGAGCCAGCTCCCATTTGCACATCTCTACTCTCTGGTCCATGCCACTGGTTGGGAATACAGGATCACTAATGGGGGAAGCTCAGCTGAGGCAAGGCAAAGCAGAGATGTGTCTGGACTGGAGGAGCTCAGCTTACCACGGGACAGCCAGGGCTCAGGGAGAATGCTGTGCCATGGGCTGGAGACCAAATCCTCACTGGCAGCGCTGGCACAGGCATGGGGGTGTGAGCAGTGGGGAGCAGCCTTGGCAGGAACAAGGGCTGGGGCACAACATGGCATGATTTACACAGCCAGGAGAGGCTTTATGTTTTTAACCAAGAAACTCTGGATGCAAAATGACCAGGGATGGAACTGGGGGAAAGCTCAGATCAGGACAGGCTGCAGTCCCCCATCACACAGGCCCTTCCCTGAGCAGGTCTGTACACCCCCAGTGGGGGAGGCACCCTAAGGGATGGGTGCATTTAAGTGCTACCTGCCATCAGAGGCTACCCCTCATACCCAGAGGCTGGGAGGCTGTTGGTGCCAGTGGGATGAAGATGGGAAGGCAGGCTCAGCCCAGGAGGAGAAGCTGTTCTGAAAGGCCTGGAGCAACATGAGCATCGTCATGACCTGACCCCAGACCTGTACTCCCAGCTGGCCGGAGCATCCATGGGACTCCTCCCAGTGGGAAGTGGGGGGTGGCAGGGTGGGCTGCTTGGAGGGCCCACAGCCTGGGTGGCAGCACAGAGAGGTGCCGGAGGAGTGTGCTGCAGGCCGGGGGCCAGACAGGCACCCCCTCACTCTCACTCTCTCTCTCTTTCCTCTCTGTGCCTCTCTGCCGGTCGGCTTGCTACATACCTCCTTTCCTACATATTTTCTTGTTGGGCTTTCGGGTGCATTCCTTGGAAATCCGTTTTACTGTAAAATGAATAAAAGACTACAAAATAACAGGAGGCTCCACTGGTGGGAGTGGGCATGCAATCACAACCACGCTGCTACCCTCCCACCGCCCCCGGGACCGCGGGAGGTGGGGAGGGAGCGTCGCCATGGGAGGAAAACTCTGGGCCAGCCGTGCTGGGCGGGAAGGAAGGCATGATGCATTCCGTGGCCAAGGGCCCCAGAGACACAGGAGTGGAGCCAGCCAGCCTGGGAGAAGCCACTGGCCTGCCAGGCTGCTCTGTTGTGCACAGCAGACCCACTGCGGGTCCCTTCCAGCCCGCTGCAAATCCCTGGGGGCTTCCCGTTGCGGTGAGGCTGGGGCGGACACACGGGCAGGCGCTGCCTCCTCTGCCCTCTACTTACAGTTCAGGTGGGATCCCCTACAAAGGAAAAGGTTAGACAAGGAGGCACCCAGCACCGCTCAGCCTCACCCCAACAGGACCATGCCCCTCGGGTCCCCAGCACCCCAGGCTCATCGCTCTGCCGCTGTCCCACCGGCGGACGGAGGAGCAGCCAAGCGACGTGTCTGCCGGTGCCCCCCAACCTCCCATCCATACCAGGGCCCAGAAAAGGGCTCTGTGGTCCCTTTCTTGCTGAAGCATCTTCCCAGGGAGAGGCAGAGAGTGTTCCTCCCAGCCGCAGCCCACGCCCACAACTAGCGCATGGACCTGGGGAGGGTGGGAAGCAGGGAGGAAGGACGAACTCGAACCAACTCAAGACAGAACCTGGCACTCGGCGCCTGGGGAGCACAAATCAGCTTGTCACTCTGTGGATCTGCGGTCAGAGAGTCGGATTCAGATTTAGCAATACAAGAGAGGAACCCGTGACGATGCCATGGAGGTGGAGGGGTGGGACCGGGAGGCGTGGAGGAGCAGGAGCACGCGAGACAGAGATGGCAGCTGAGGGCAAGAGGGCAAGCTGCGTGGCCAGAGAAAGCTTTCCACAAACAGACAGCATGCTGCAGGGTCCACAACCACATGCTTCAAACACAACACCCAGGTGAGACCAACCACTGCTGGGGAGGGGTGGAGTGACCCCCCCCCTCGCCCTCCTGCGGTCACCCCAGTGGGGACTCACCATCCTCCGTGGGGATGTAAATGTTGAGGTACAGACAGTCCTCGTTGGGGTCCTGGATGTATGTGGCCACGATATCCAAATTGGAGGTAAACCAGATGGGCAGCATGATCTCAGGAACGGCGTTGTGGATGTTCTGGGGGCAGACTGGTGAGAAGTGGGTAGCGTTCCTGATGCCTGACCAGGACGGTGGTGGCTCAGGGGGCATGAATCTCTTCTCCCCGACTGGGGGGGCAGCATAAGGAACCCCCAGGTACTGGTCCACAGGCCCCAGAATCTCACTGGGCAATGGCACACGCACCCCTCGTAACTTCCCATAGTGTGTGTTGACAGTTGGTGAGTAGACCTGGCCCTCCATCTGCACAACCATCGAGGCAAAGCTCAGGACCCAGAGGGTGAGACGCAGGTCCCAGCTGGCCACCAGCTCAGGCACTTGGAGAACAGGGGGGAAGAGAGGGCTTCTCCAGAGTATCAGCCACATTGTCCGGGAGAAACAGCACCAACATCCAGGCCTGAAGCTCCTGGGGCGAGGGCTCAGGGCATCCCCATCACATCAAGCCTCCGATTTGCCCGCCGGGAACACACGGAGCAGGAGAGCCGGGAGTCAGGAGCGCGCAGCCCAGCCACACCTTCTGCTGGGTGAGTCGGATGCAGGGAGATGTGTCACTGGCTTCTCACAGCCTCCCAGCTGCCCACTGCTGCCTGTCTGCCAGCGGCCCAGCCTGGAGGTGACTGCTGATACTGTGGAGAGATGGAGGGAATTAACAGCAGACTTGCTCTGGGAAGAGTCGAAGAGCTGCAGAGCAGAAGGAGCCAGGATCCCTGGCTGACCCTCCCACCCATGGGTGCTCATTGGCTCTGCCACCACCCAAGCAGGTGGCTCTGGGAGCTTGCAAATGTGGGCAGCACAAGTGGAGCATCTGCAGACACACGGACTGTGTCTGCCTGTGCCTGCAGAGCCTGTCCCAGCACTCAGGGGCCAGCCCTGCCCCTGTCCTGTCCAGGTGATCCCCACAGCCATCCTGGGCAGCAGCACTATGCCCCCACCCCATGCTGCAGGAGGGTATCAGCAGCAGATTATGGATGACAAGATAAGCAGGGCAGTGCCACATCCCTCCCCACAAGGAGCCTGTTGGACATCACTGGTGCCAAGCACAGCCCCAGCACAAGAGCCCACTGGCATCTCTCCTCTCCTGGCTGAGGTGGAGCAGCCTGCACTCACAGACCCTGCAGCCTGTGCTTCTTGCTTGGGCTGCTTGCTTCCCCGTTCGGGTGCCACCACCCCACCTCACACACCCGCAAACCAGACCCACGTGTCCTACCAGGCACCCATCTCACCCACACACACGCTCTCCACCAGCTTTCCCCCTCCACGTGCCACGGGCCCAAGCGGCAAGACCCCAAGTCACAGTGCTCCTGGGCATCTGCCCTCCCTCCCATCCACTCCCTGCCCCGGCTGCCTCCGGGGCAACCCTGGGGAGGCAGAACTCTGCTCCCACATCCCCCCCAGCCGGGCTGGCAGCATCAGGGGGAGCAGCTGTGGCAGCCCCCGTGGGGCCCGCGGGGAGGGGAGGGCAGTGCAGATGGGGACCCGCGGATGTGTGTCAGCGAGCAGCGCTCCTGTGCCAGGGAGCCCTCGCCGGAGGCTGTGTGGATTCTCAGCGCTCTGCCCTTCACCTCCCGCACCGCCTGTCGCATTCAGGGCTTATGTAAGTGCCCCCCCGGCTCCCCCCGGCAGCACCGCCGCTCTCGGGGGACCCGGGCAAGGGAAGCCGCCGGGGCTGCACCCTCCCGGTGCTCCCCTCACCCCGGCGGGGCGGGCACGGCATCAGCGGGCGGCCGGCTCCGCTCCTCGGTGGGCGGATCTGCAGCCGGGTCCCTGCTAAAAGGCACGGCTTGGTGGCGGCTCAGAGGATGCTCGGCTCGTCCTCTCTCAGCCACATGTCCTCACCCTGGGAGAGATGGCAGCGGTGGTGAGGCACCTCCGTTTTGCCCCAGGGCATTCTTACATGCCCACCCGGTATATCCCTCCCAAGCTCAGAGGGGAGCAGAGTTGCCTTGAAATTATTGGAGCACAAAATAAGGGCTATATGCAGATGGGAGGACGCAGCTCTGGTTGGAGGTTCAGTTGGGCAGGGATTCCACAAATGGAGAACACCTCATCCAGTGAGGAAAATCCGCAGGAAAAAAAACCAAAACCACCACCAAAAAAACCACCCCAAACCCTACAAACAAACAAACAAACAAACAAACAAAAAACCACAAGAAAACCCCACCAAAACACAGCACAACCAAGAAACCCCACAGAAGGTGTCTGAAATCTGTACTGCACATGTGCAGGCAATTCACTGCTGGTGATTAAGGAGATGGGCCCATGCTGTGCCTGCCCTCCTGATATGCCCAGAGAACTCAGCAGGCTCAGAAATCAGGGTACGACAGTAAAAAGAAACACTCAGCCCAGAAAATCATGTTACTGCATTCAGCCCACCTGAGTAGCAAGGCCTCACAGGGCTGGGCATGCAGGCACCTTTCCAGAGCCTGCAAAGGGACAGCAGGGAATTCCAGACAAGGAGAGCAGTACAGCTGATGAAGAGAAACAGTCACAACACTCCCCCATCCATGGCACAGGGATGACCTGAAGGCTGAGCTATCATGACTGGGGCTGATACTGCTCTCTTTCTGACCCCCATCATCTCTGCACATTATTCCCCTCCACCTCTTCCTGCCCCACAGGGCAGTGACAGAAACACACCCAGCAGGAGCATGGCACTGCTGCATTATCCCCCAAAAAGATGCCAAAGTCTAAGAAATAAAAGCTGTATCGAGGGACAGAAATACAGCTGAGGCACCCAGAGACCCCAAGCTCAGCTCTGCCCACCACCGCTGGAGCTGCCTCTGCAGCACAATGCCTTGGCTGCTCTGCTCTGCCTGCAGCTCTGGAAGAAAACCATCATTCATCCAATATTCCTTTCTGCAATGCTCCTCCTTCAGCAGAGAACTGGCCTTTGCCTAACAGTGACATCCCAGGAGTGCAATGCTGGCTCGGGACCCCCAAAGCTTTATCCCCAAGCGGGAACTCAAAGATGCTTCACACCCACTGCTCTGCCTGACATAGCTGGAAGGCAAACTGCCCAGTGCAAATCTTCTGCTCAGGTTCCTTCAGGTACCGCAGGTTAGGATAAAGCCAATTATTAATGACTGTCATATCTAATTTGTATGACTGGAAGCTACAGGCAGCTTCCAGTCTTTATGTTAGTGCATACAGTGCTCCCCGCAGAGCCATTTCAACCGATCCGTCATCATTTTCTGTCTGCAGGAACACCACAGCCCTGCCAGCAGTGGCTTATCAGCTGATTTCCCAACTCCAGAGCTTCCTCAGGGCTTCAGCCACACGCTGCCATGGGCACTGCTGCTCCACCAACTCCTCCAGTCAAGCAATTTCGTGGCACCAGGCAGTGCCACTACACAGCTGCCCAGCTGGGCTGTGCACACCAGTCACAGGGCTGGATTCACAACCCACTTTGCATCCACGGAGTGGCTGCACACCCAGCATAACCACCCTCTCCTGACACAATGAAGAATCTCTTTTCTACAAATCACAGCAAAAAAAGGCTTCTTCTACAGCTCCTCAGAAATACATTATGATGATATTCCTTTGGGCTTTTGTTTAATCCTCTTCCATCGTTCTTTTAATAGCTTTTAAAAAACATGGAAATCTGAAGATAAAAAACATAAGCTAAGATAGAATTAAAGTTCCAAGTACACGTCCTTAACTTTAGCAAAATGATGCTACAGGACTTAAAACCGCCTCCAGTTACGAGTTTTACAAAGCATGAGGCACAGAGGTGAGTTACGTTAGCTACAGCCAAATATGTTCAGATATGGAGATGCACAGTCAAGGCCCAGCAGCCCTAATGTTACCCTGGAGAGCCACAATGTCTTAACACTCAAATCCAGATCACGGTATTTTAACATTTGTAATTCCGCATTTGGTTCCATCATTTTTTAAAGACTCTTTCCCTCCATCTGCCCATGTCCCCGCAGCACAGAATAAAAGGCACCCAAACAATCTCAGTGACATGTTTCTAAAGCATTCCTATGTTTGCACTGTTTTTCAATTACAACCCCAAAAAATGATGCAAACCCTATATCTAGAATTCCCTGGGTTTCAAATGCCTGATTTGGGATGATTACAATACCCCTGCAACACATCTGATACCCTCACATTGCTGTTCTGTGCTCTGCGCTTTCTGATGTAACTTCATGTTAACATAACATTTAGGATGGGAATTTAGCCTTAATTTAATACTGACAGACTGCCATGAGAACCCAAGCTTAGCCCCCTTCACTGTGGGCTGTTGCATGTGCCTTGCATTGCTGCCTGCTGCCTCAAAAGCTCTTAAGCTTCCCCTTTGGTCTTTCAAAGCATGCAAAATAACTGGGAAACCCGAGAAAGGACATTTCATCCAGGGAAGCAATTCCCCTCGCATCCCATGGGAGGTGGGAGCAAAACTTTCCCAGTTTCCCGCCTACAGCACTCTCGTTCTTCCCTCCAGCAGTGAAGCCAAACGTGTCCCCCAGTGAAGATGGGCTGCAGGGAGGCAGCCAGGAGCTGTGCCTGCCAACTAGAAGTGAAACCGGGCTGGGCTGGGCAGATACAGCCAAACTGGGAGTGCTCAGACGGGCACACAGTGAGAAGCTGGAAGGATAAAGACACCACAGGCATCCCAGGTCGCTCTGCCAGGCCGCTGGTGGGTGAGCGGAGGAAGTGAGGCTGCTGGCTGTTAGGGATGTTATTCATGTGCTTCGGAAAACAAATGCTCCATAGGTATTTCCACGGCCACACTGTCTGCCAGACGGCTTCCTCCTCAACAAAGAGACGCTCTCCATGGAAACCTGGGCGAGTGGGATCCTCTGGAAGCCTCTCTGGCAGATGCATATTCAGGCATCTCAACACCAGCCAGACAAGCCGGATCCACACCTCCTCTGGCAGATGGCCGAGGAGATGTGAGCAGACAGCCTGCTCTCATATTGGACCCTTCCTCGGGGCCCAGCCTCCTGCCCTGGAGCACTTGGGCTGACACAACCCCAGGCTCATCACGCTGATGGTGTGGTTCTATGTCCCGTGTGGTACAGAGCCAGGACAGACCTCAAACCACCCAGCTGGCATGGATGGATGATCTCCTTCCAACAGGGTGTCCCACTGCACCCTCCAGCCACTCTGCCTTGTGCAGCTCTGCTCACCATCTGAGCCCGCTGTATTTTAATGAGAGGTAACTGGGGGCCAGCCCATGCACCCCAGAACAAACATGCACCTGGAAAACAGTGTGAGAAACCTCTGCCTCCTCTTTCCCAGGGCGACTGAGCTCCAAACCCTTCCACCAGCCTGTGCTCCTGGAGCTCAGGCTGGTGCTCAGCTCTCAGGCAGCAGCAGCTGTCAGATGCACTGCCCACCCTGCCAGATTCTCTCCTCCACTGGGCAGCAACCCCAGCTCTCACCCAGTCCCATCCCACCTGGCCTACAATGCTGCAGAAACACCACAGGAAACCCTGGGGAGCACAGAAGCTGCAGCACAACTGGGCTGTGTCCCTGTGTCCCAGAGGCTCCTCACGAGCATCCCTCTGCCTGCAGGTCTTGGCTCGCACTCTCTGATGCTTGTGGCTTGGGTCAGTGCTTGAGGATAATACTACAGAGCAAAGTTGGTGGTTTGTGGATTGTGCCCAGTGGGTCTTTCTGACCC